CCCCTACCCCCACCCTCTCAGGCAAACTGACACAGCCCCCTTTAGTGAGCCAGAGACCCTGAGATGGGAAGCAGGGCAAGGATTTTCTGGTCACTCAGCCTCTCAAAGACCATGCAGCGATGGGCTTGCGGTTTCTGCCTGGCGAAGTCTGTCTGGGCAATGGGAAGGAGAGGGGCCCAGAGAGGCTAGTTCTCAGGGGTATCAGGATCCAGGGTTTCAGGAAGAGGGGGCCTTCCCAGATACTGTCTCTGAAGTATGAAGAGAAGACCAGTGGGCTCTTAGAGGGGTAGGAGAGACTGGTGTGGACTCCGGAGCACTGCCACTAGGGAGACAGCTTTCAGTAACTCGCTAATTTCAGAGCCAATTGGAGAGGTTTTTCTCCTGCTGTAGGTCTAGGACTACCCCAGCACCTACCTCACCTAAGCCATGCGTCATCCAGTCTCATCCCTGTGTTATCAAATTCTCCAAGGGAAAGAGAGCACCTCCCCCCCTCCACACACACACAGATCAGCCATCCTGATTCACATCCTTCAAGTTCCTGATATGAGGTCTACAGCGACTAGATATTTCCATGGTCAAAAATCACAGTAAGAAAAATCTCCTCAGGAAAAAAAAAATTCTCTGGGAAGTTTTTAAAGGCTTAAAATTTTCTGGGCCTTAGCATCCCCATGATAATAGTAAGAGATTTCTGAAAAGCTCTGTGGGCACTGAATGGGCAGAGAAGTGGACAAAAAAGGCCCAGCCCTGGCCTGACTGAGGCCCTTTGGATGTCTCTGGGCCTAAGGAGGCCTGGCAGTGGCATTAGCTTCATTTTAGAGGCACCGGCAGAGGGCTTACCTGGGGTTAGCCAGGGTGAGACAGTTCTGCCCCCCACCCCCTGCCTGCCCACCAGCCCCATCTAGAGCACATCATTTTTCCTGTCTCTCTTGGCAGAGCAACCTTCCTGGGGCCCCCAGACTGTTCTAGGAGATCTCTGGGGCAAGGTCCCCAAAGAAAGAAATGCCACAGAGGGAACTCTGTGTTGCTAAGCTTTGCTCAAACCCTGACCTATCTCCTTCCACGAAGCAGAGGTTTTCCTCTTCCCATTTGCCTCTCTGGGGACTGCCATCTGTCCCTCACTGCCATATTCATCTCTGCTGGGAGGGGGTTGATGAGCCCTTTTCCATTGGGAAAGCATAGATTATAGGGCCTGCTCCCCCCTCCCCATACTCATTCTTAAAACCCCATCAGAGAAGCTGCTCAATATGGCCATTCAATCCACTTTCTCTGGTCCATGTCTGGGCCTTGCTGACTTGCTGAGTCTTAGGGATCCACTCTCTGTTCTGGCCGAATGCAACCAGGAACCAGGCTGTCAGAACAACATCTTCTTTGACTTTAAAATCTTCTATTTTCACAGGAATCACCTGGGTGGCTTAGTGGTTTGAGCTTTGGACTCTCTTCCAGAGCCCAGAGCCTGGGGCTCGGCACTCAGTGTGGAGTCTGCTTGTCCCTCTCCCCACCCCTAAAATAAATAAATAAATTGAATCTTTTAAAAATCTTCTATTTTCACATCTCCTATTTTCTATCCTGAGGATACAGGCTTTCCTCACCCCTCCCCTACTCTTCTTCACAGAAGAATGTAATAAGGAGGTGAGGCCACAGACTTTTGACTAGCGTGGAGCATCATGGCCAGGGCAAGCCGAGGCTGCTGCCCCAGGAACAGAGATTGGAGAAGTCTCAGTGCCCTTTCTCTGGGAGAAGGAAGGGTGGGCTGCCCTCTCTATACTCTCACCATAGGACCAGGGTGTTGGTGGGACTGCTGTTTCCCTCTTCTCTGCCCAACCCCATATCACTTTCTGAAACAGCTCAAGAGAGATTATAGGGGGCCCAGCTCACAGTCATGGGAGCTTTTGTTTAAAAACTCAGGCCCTGAATCCAATATGTGGCTTAAACCCAGCCCCCGTCAGAGCCTTATTGGGCTCATTTGTAAAATGGGGATCAGGGATTTGATAGGAATAAATGCCATAAACAGTAGAAACAGTTGGTACCTGCACTGGAGTAACCACTCCACAGATGTCAGCAACGATTATTATCCGCTGGCAGGACTCGCATCTCCTCTCCACCTAGGGCTGGAAAGAGCCTTCTCTGAGAGCTTCGAGCACCAAGCACAATATCTGATCCTTTCTTCTTGTTAACTTCACTGTGGTTGTCATTTACTGAGCACTCATCATGGCACAAACACCCTCTCAGGGTGTTCACACGCTTCCCTCATCAGCAGTGCATAACTGCCCCAGTATATGGTTGGAGAGCCCGTCCAGAAGCATAGAAAGGTGCTATGATGACCTGCCCAAATTTCCCAGCCAGTAATGGAGTTTGGATAGCTCCTCATACCTCCTGGTCCCAGACCCACGCTCTGAAGCCCCAGTAGGCCTCTGGGCAGTCCTGTGTCCACATCTGGTGTCCTTTCCTCAGACCAGCTGCCTCTCTCTTACCCACCAAGATGGGAAATTCTGGGAAGTCCCAGAGGAGCCTGTGGCCTTGACTCCAACTCCCTGCAGAGGAGGTTGGAGCACTCTCCTGAATGAGAACAGAAAGTCCCCTGTGGGGGAAAGAAAAGCTGAGCACTTAGTCCCCCTCACCCTTTCTTTCCTCACTGTGAGCTCCATCATGCTCATCAAAGGAGCAGCCTCTGATATGCTTCCCACAGCCACCCACAACACTCACTATGGCCCTTCCACGTGAGGCCTGAGCTCCCAGGCTGCATAGCTGGCAGGGATGCCACCATCCTGAGAGTTAGGCCTTGGCACCATACCTAATTGGTCAGAGGCAGAAGGTGGAAGACTACCCCAATCCCTCTAACTGAGGGGACCCTGCTGGGTTGTCAGGTTTGATCTCACCCCACTGGTGGGGCCTGCTGGGCACCAGACCCTCTGAATTAGAGCCATTCAGATGGGCAAATGGGAGGAGCTGTGGCGAAGCTTAAGGCTCATCCCCACTCACTGCTCCATCAGAGACTGGCAGGATCTGCTCTGATCCCCAGCATTCCCACGGGAAAAATACCTTACAGCCCCTGCAGGGAGGCTTGCTGACCATCTTCCATGTTAACCACCTTGTCCAGACTAAATTCCTCTCACTACCCAAGAACAGAAATATGGTTATGGGCTCAGTTAGGCCAAGACAACCAGCCATCTGCCATTGACTGTTAAGTCCAAGCTCCTTGCTGGAAAGATGGGGAAACAGAGGCCTAAAGAGGCAGTGACTTGCTCCCAAATCAGAGGCAGTTTAGTAATAAGAAACTGTGGTGAAGGAGTGTCCAAACCAGGAAGATGGTGTTTCCTTAGTAAATGAATGGACATTCCCTGCAAGCCTACCTCTGCTCTAGGGCTTAGGAAAATACCTGTGAGGTACTTGTCTCAGGGCTGATGAGTGACCTTCTGGGGTGAAAGCTTAACCCCTCTTAACCTTTGCTCTCTGGCCATCAGTACCCTCTTGGCCCCAACTCCATCTCCCAGGCTAAGTGAGTGCAAATCCAGCATCAGTCTGTGCAGAGGCCACCTGAGGGGACAGAGAGGCCAAAGGCCCAGCAAGGACAGAGCCCCCTTAAGCCGATCAGCCTTGCCCCAGTGAAGGGAATCCCAGAGGGAGTGAAGTTGCTGCTTGGCAGGATAATTGCTGCAAGAGGGAAGAGATGGGGTAGGCCCAGCTCCTGGCTCCCACGAGGGCCCCTCTGTCCACATTCCCTGGCCCAAAGCCCATGCCTGGGATGTGCAAATGCTCCCAGGACTCAGGGTGGTGGGGGATGGGGGGGAGCCCTATCTGGAGCAGGCTTCTGCAGGAGAGCTTGGAGCTAGAGGGGACTTCAGCCTGCTTGAAAGAACAAACAGCTTTCAAGTGCTCTCTGGAGTACCTATTTCATTGCAAACTCTTGTTATGCTAATGAAAGACCCCTCTTCTCTGCTCATTAGAGCACATCTCCAAAAGACCTCCTTGTAGCCTTTCTGTGTGAGTGTCCAAGAGTCAAAGAGGCGCTCCAGAAAAGGCCTGGGGCTCACTGTCCACCCCACCAGCATGCGATGTGATGGGAGAGGACATGTCACCAACATCTCACCTATTTAGAAATCACATCAAAGAAACCTGCCCTTTCCCAGAGCATCACGGCACATCAGGCAGCCAGCCAGAGAAAAAAAATCCACGCTGCCCAGAAGATGTCACTTAGCTCTGCCTGGGGCCCCAGTGGATCACAGTGTGAGCCCCGGATTCCTGTCTTGGCTTTGTACTCACAAGGCAGAGGACCTAACTGTGCTCTGAGACTGAGATTGTCTATCACATGGTGAGAATTCAGGTTGAGGCCAGATTCTCTGAAAAACGTTTTAGCACAGGGTCTGCACACAGCAAGCCAGCAAGCCAGCAACCCCTCAAGGAGGAGTGTCCACTGTGGTGAATCTTGCTTTGGTCCCTGGCTCAGTGCTGAACACTCGAGAAGAACCCAGGATGGGCAGGTTTGGTTGAAGACTCCGGAAAGGAGGCCCCTGGGTACACGTATAGGACATGTGGCTGGCACCTGGTGATCATTTGGATAGAACCTCAGACACGCACCATAGAGTTCCTTTTCAGAAAAGCTGATCTGTGATTTTTCATCTGCACAGAAGGCTCAAGAGTGGGAACTTCCCAGAACATCTGAGGGTATACAGGGTAGATTCCTCATTTCCCTCAGAATCAGCCAGGCCTCTACAACTCACCAGGTGTGTCCGTGGGTCAGTGATTTGGTGCTAAGGACCAGAGGACCCCACCCCTCCCCCTTTCATATGTTAAAGCTCTAACCTCTAGGGTGCCTGTGATTGGAGGTAAGGATTTTGGAAGCAGGTAAGGTTCAATGAGGTTGTAAGGATGGGAGGCTACACCAACTGGATTGGTGGCCTTATAAAAAAAAGGAGCAGAGAGGAACTTCTATCTCCCTCTCTGCCACAGGATGACATGGCAAGAAGGTAACCATCTGCAAGCCAGGAAAAGAGAGCTCTCACCAGAACCCGGCCATGGCAGCATCCTGATCTTGGGTGGGCCTCCAGCCTCCAGCACTATGAGAAAATGCACTTCTGTTGTTTGAGCTCTCCAGTCTCTGGTGTTTTGTTAAAGCAGCCTTAGTTGACTAGTATATTTGGCCTCTCCATGCCTTAGTCTCCTCATCTGTAAAATGGGGTAATAATGTTGTCGTTAGCCCAGTGCCGAGCTCAATAAATGTCTTCTATCAGCATCATGATCATTTTTCCATAATGATATGCATCTCACCCACTATAATGCTAATAGGAGGTAACCACCCAGATGCAAACCCCAAATGATGGGACAAGACCTCTAGATAAGCAAGCCCTCTCAGGGATCTCCTGGGCTCAAAAAAAGGCTTCCTGGAAGAGGAGACCATTGAAAAACACTTTCCTACTGGCTTCGTTGGCCTACCCCCCTTCCTTGCTCTTAGGCGCAGGGAAGGATCAGATGGGAATAAGGGATAAGTAGTCAGCAGGAGGAAACAGCTGTAATGTGGGGCTCACCTGTGCCCCAGCACCCCCCTGACCCCCAACCCCTTCCTTCAGCCCATTCTGGGGCCACGCAGGGGCAGGATGCTCACACAGAGCGAGGAGAGGGCTGTTGCCTTGGGGAAGAGAAAGCCCTCAAGAGCAGGCCACTGATCTCAAAGGGAAATAATGGGATTTTCTGGGATTCACATTGATCCCCAAAGGAGAAAAGCTTCTGTTTGCCTTTTTTAAGCCGCCAAACAAGGAACTAAAGCCTCTTTCAGCCCTGACTCAGGGCTGTCCTTTCTGAAGTCCTTATTATCCCTGGGGCACTGGGAGAACAGGCCCCGGTGCTGGGCCCTCCACACAGGGAGCTTTCCGCCAGGCAGAGGCCTGCCTGGTTTCCTAGCGACCCAAACCCCACCGAACTGCAGGCGCTGGCACCTTGACCCACAGTTCTTGACTATGGCCTGGCTCAGGCCTGCCTCCTCTTCTTGATTTGCCCAGGGATGAGTTTCCATACCCAGGAGCAAACACATGAAGCAACAGCTCTCCACACCCCCAGATACCACACATCCCTCACCCCAGCTGACCAACAAGGACATCAATGATGATAATAGTCACACTTAAGAGAGTGACTAGTTCTTGAGCAACGTTTAGCTCCAGGCTCCATCTTCTTTTCCACTAGGCCTTACCTCAAGATTTGCATGCTTGGTGGGACAACCAGCCCTCACCCCAAAGAGATATTCTCACCTCCAGGCCCACCAGTGACCCTCACCTCTTGCCACTTGAGCTACTCCTCTCATAACCACACTCTAGATGTGGTCATCATTCACCACTGCTCCCTCCATCTCTGAAACCTCACATATACATTCGCACTCACACTTACACCCCTACAACCCTCTCAATTCAGTCTCTGGCCTTCTCTCTATCCAGTTCTTAGACCCTCTGATCCTCGGTCTTTCCTCCACCCCAAGTGCTCTCCTCACCCCTGGCCAACTTCCTCAATCTCAAGAAAGGGAACCTCAAAAAAAAAAAAGAAAAGAAAGAAAGAAAGAAAGGGAACCTCTCCTCCCCTCCTAGTCCTCCTCCATCCACAAATCACCCAGCTCAAGGACCAAAGAGGCCCTCCCCTCACTTCCCTGCTTCATGTTCTCTTGCAGATTTGACTTTCTGAATATTTCAGTTTAGAAACTGAACTACTCTTTTTTTTTTATTTATGATAGTTACACAGAGAGAGAGAGAGAGAGAGAGGCAGAGACATAGGCAGAGAGAGAAGCAGGCTCCATGCACCAGGAGCCCGAAGTGGGATTCCATCCCGGGTCTCCAGGATCGCGCCCTGGGCCAAAGGCAGGCGCCAAACCACTGCGCCACCCAGGGATCCCCTGAACTACTCTTTAGTGCAGTTTAGACTATACAGTACACTTGGGGATAAAACCAAATTCCTTTGTTAGGTGCACAGGGCACAAAACTTGAGATTTGCCTGACTTTCTAGCATCAGCTCTTGACACTGCTGCCTGGCAACATGGGTGCATGTATGCACACACACGCGCACACACAGACATGCATGTACCTGCATACACATGGCACCTGCCATATTTCAAGGGAGTGATATGATATGATATGATATGATATGATATGATATGAGGCTGGTAAAGTCAGCTGGTGCTGGGTGAGGCACCCAGTAATGATTGATTGCCAGGCCAGGAGTCTGCTGCTTCTGGCAGCCACCTGGGCACTATGAGGACTGTGAGAGCCATCACTGGATAGTTGCCTTGTTGTCCCTGCCACAAACTGGCCAGAGTTTCCCTTACCTCCTCCTCTTCCATGAAGTCAAGGGCTTCTGTGATGCCCAGGTATTGGCAGAGAAGATTTAATATGTGGCAAATGACCCTTCCCTTTGGCCCATCATTGCACTTTTAATAAAATATGTTCTAGGTCTACTGTCATGTGTGTACAAAGTTGAAAGTATAAGTGACTCAAGCCAGGACAATCAGACTCTATTCCTGGACTTTTGTTGGAATTAACAAGAAAATTGTTAATTTCTTGTTAATAAGAAATTAACATCGCCATTTGGCTTAGTTCATAGGTTTAGCTGGTGGGATGTGAGCTTGGAATAGATCTTGCCTTCTGTAGAGAGAGCCTGAGAACAAAGCCAGACAGGAGCAAAGCCAAGAAATGAAGGAGACAGAGAGGGAGGGAGAGATAGAGATAGAGATAGAGATGATAGAGATAGAGATAGATAGAGATAGAGATGATAGAGATAGAGATAGAGATAGAGATAGAGATAGAGATAGAGATAGCTGAAGCCATCACAGGAGCACCAGAATTGTGTTGATCTTGTTGAAGCCATACGTATGCCACATGAACTAATAAATTCTCCTTTTCAATGAAGCCAGTTTGCATTTGGTTTCTATCATTTGCAGATGAAAATGCACTCATCACTATGATAAACAAGGAGGTTCATGGCAGTGTTGATTTAATAGCAAAAACATGGCACTAAGTACCCATGGCAGCACTTCCTTATATAAATGGAAGTCTTTGTACATAATGGGCCGATGCTGCCATCACAGAGGACTCTGTCTTTGCCCACATGGAAAGACACTCAGGCTATATTATTAAGTGAAAAAGGTGAGGTGTAGAATAGTGTGCATATTTTCCAATAAGTGTATTATTTTTAAGGATGGATACACACATTTACATGCACATTTGCTTGGATTTACATGAAATTTTCTGGAAGTCACACGCACAAGCACTTGTTACTAAACATAGCATTTATGTACATGCTTTTGGAGTGCAATAAATGCACTATTCTGAGAGCTCCACGTGTTTTATCTCATTTTACTCTCACAACATTCCAATGGGATTGGTACTATTATTAGTCCCTTTTTATAGCTGAGGAAACTGAGGCACATAGAGCTTTCAGTGTAGACTAAAGTTATAGAAATAGTAAGTGGCCCTTAACTGGCTCGGGGTGCTGGTTACCTGTTGGCAGTGGGCATACAGGTCAGGAGGGGGTCCCTCACCTGTTTACAATCTTCCCTTCCTATTGCTGGTTCAATCTCACAAGTCACACATATGCAGGGAAAAATAGCAGAAGAAGAGGTTGGAGAGGACTTTGGGTAGTCCCTCTGTGTGGCACACGAGTCCCAGCAGCTAGAACAAGCTGCCTTGGCTGAGGGAATAGCTCTGTGGTTCAGAAGGGAACCTGAGGGTAGCACTAGGGGTCCCAAGTCTCCTTGGACCTCGAATCTGTCTATGCTGGGCCTGAGCTGATGGGCTGCACACTCTCCCTCTCATTCAAGCCCGCTGACCATCATCCAGCCTCCAAGAGATGAGCCTCCAGTCTGCATATCCCCGGGGTCAGAGGGCATCTGAAGCCCCCAAAGCAAGGTTGGCCTGGTTGGCAGTAAGGCAGCATCACCCATCCTATGAGTGACATGGCCTCAGATGTCCAGCAAGGGATCCACCACACTGGGGCCTCCGCAATGGGGTCATAACCCCAGCTCTTAACCCCAGGGCTACGCCCTTTGTTGGGGGATGAGAGGCTCTCTGGAGGCCACTACATTGCTGCCGTGACCTCACTGCTCAAGAAGAAAGACCTGGCCTTGCCAGGAGTGGCTCGCTCTGCTCATGCTGCTCAGGCTGCCTGCTGGGCATTGGGAGCCAGGCTGGTGTTGGGATTGGCTCTGAGCGCAGGGCTTTCCTGTGTGCAGGGTGGGCAGGCAGCCCTGTGAGGGCATGGGGCCCGTAGGGGCTGGTGGGAACTCCTCCACAGACTTACATTAGCCTTTTTCATGCAGGATCAGCCTGAGGTGGCCCTTCCCCACCCCTAGAAGCTTTCATCCCACTGCGACAGTGGCAGCGTCTACTGCCCCCACCCCCAGGCCACCTGCAGCTCCAACTTGATGATGACCCCTGAATGCCCGGAAGCCTCAAACTGCTGATCCCATAACATGCCTTCCTGGGAAGCCCAGCGTGACCAGGTGGAGAGCCCCATTTTGGGTTCAATTCCTACATCCTTTACTCTGCATGCAATAACTGGCTCTCTACTCTGTGCCAGGCACTATGATAAGACCTGAAGTTATAAAGCAGTGAGAAAAAACAATAAAGGCCATGCCCTCATTTTGCTTAGAATGTGGCAGGGAGAGAGCTCTTGTACAAAATGTTCATGTAGATTTTGGAAGTTGGGAGTTATGCCTCCATTGGGGAGGCTCAGTGTGGTGGATCCCTTGCTGGACATCTGAGGGTTTTGGAGGGGTAATGTCTTATTAGTACAAGGGCCACAGAGGAAAGGTACAAGGGCTGAGACTGCTATGGTGGGGGAACTCTGACCCAGTCGAGGGGGAACGGGCTACTTGGAGGAAGGATGTATGGGAGCTCATTTTGGCAGAGAGGCCAAAAGATGTTCTACTCAGTAGGAATGGTATGAGCTAAGGCCCTGTGGTTATGGGAAGAGTGTTACATACTAGGGGCTAAAAAGAAGGGCAATGTGTCCTTAGTGCAGAAAATATGAGGCAGTGTAAGGTGAGAGGGTAGACAGGAGAGGTCAGCAGGGACCAGAGCCATGGAGAGCCACTGAGGGAAGGAAGGTGAGACGGGGGCTCCCAAGATCCATTCGTATTTTCAAAAGATCATTCTGGCTTCAGACAATGTAGGTATGCAGCCTGACCAAGT